ACAATGAGTATAATCCAGATTACAATGAGTATAATCCAGATATTATTCAGTATAATCTGGATTATACTAGCTACCATCTGAAAATTTTTTTCGCCTCAGATGTCACTGAGTATAATCTGAGATGGTATCCAGTGTCATCTTGTTCTTTCCGTGTAAGGTGATATATAGTAAGTTAATAATTTAAAAATTTTTTTAGACATCAACGAGTGTTCAGAAAATCCAAGAATTTGTTTAAATGGAAGATGCGAAAACACGCCTGGTTCCTATCACTGCGTCTGTCAATCGGGATTCACACCCTCAAGGGACAACACTTTTTGCGTTGATATGGACGAGTGTTCGACCACCGGGATGTGCGACAACGGAAAGTGTGTTAATATGGAGGGGTCTTTCAAGTGCGTTTGTGATTCTGGGTTCAGATTGGGACCCGACCAAAGTCACTGCATAGGTAAGATATTATTACAAATTATTTCAAATAATTTTTCAATAATAATCAATTTATTTTCAGATATTGACGAGTGTCTGAGCTCGCCGTGTCAAAACGGCCGATGCAAAAACACGCCCGGAAGTTTCAGGTGCGAATGTAACCCTGGTTTCAACTTGGGACCGGATGGTAGATCATGTTTAGGTGAATAATTTATTGTAAATTGTAAATTATAATTATAATTTTAATTAACTTGTCTGTTTATTGAAAATTAATTGCAATAATTTAATCGGCAGATACCCGGCGAGATTTATGTTACTCGCAGTACAAAGATGGCCAGTGTTTGAATCCGACGTCTACGGCAGTGACTAAATCTAGTTGCTGCTGCTGTACTGTCATTTTAGGACAACCTCTAGGATGGGGAAGTAATTGTCAGGCTTGTCCAATGCCCAGGACTCCAGAGTTTGAGTCTTTGTGTCCTCATGGCGCTGGAATGACTTACAATGGAGATGGTAATATAAAAAGAATATTATTCAAAATTTAAATAGGATAAAATAAAAATTGATAGATTTAATATTCAAATTTTTTAATTTTTCAATTATAAAATTTTTAATTAAAAATTAAATATTCAATTTTTGACAAAAATATTAGGATTAAAAATTAAATATTTAATTTTTGATTAAAATATTGAAATTAAAAATTAAAAAAATTTTTTTTGATTAAAATATTGGGATTAAAAATTAAATACTTAATTTTTGATTAAAATATTGGAATTGAAAATAAAAAAAAAATTTTTTTTGATTATAATTTTGAGATTAAAAATTAAAAAAAAATTTTTTTTTTTGATAAATTTGAACTTAAATTGATACAATAATAAAAAATCATTTTTTTTATTTTTAATCTTAATTAAAAAATTAAAAAAGTTTTTAACAGTGAAGGCAAATACAAAAAAAAAATTTTTTTAATTTTAGATTGGTTATTAAGTACTACAAAATTTTGCTATTTTGAAATGAGACAGCCTCAAAATTCTCAACAAAAAAAATTACTTTTATTAAAAAAAAAAAGTTTGAGGTGCTTTTTAATATTTTTTGTAATAAATTTACGGTAATTATTTACAAGTCGGATCTCAACCCATACTGGTCCATGTTGATTTTTTTTTTTTTTTATTAAATTGAACTTTTTTTTAAATTGTTTGTTTTTTTTTATGTAAGGTAAAAGACCCAATTATTGACACTGGCCTAGTTGTTAGACACTTGCAATTTTATTCTAATTAAAAAAATTAAATCTTCTCAAAAAATCAATTATCTTAAAATTTATAATTCAAAAATTATATTCATTAATTTATTAGAATTGATTTGTTCTTTTTAATCAAAACAAAATTGCAAGTGTCAATAACTAGGTCTTTTAACTTATTTTTCAGAAAAAAAAAATATATCAAAAACATCAAAAAAAGATAAAATAGAAATTTTATCCAAAAACATGAAAGCCAATTTTTTTTTCCAACTTTTAAAGGCAAAAATATCGAAATCTTTATTTTTTCTTTTCACATTTTTTTATCTTAAATGCGTTGTAAAAACAAGCAGAATAAAAAAATCTTAATTTTTCACCTTATTATGACCCAGAATGGGATTGACTCTTGTAAATAATAACCAAAATTACTTCTAAAAATATCTACGGATAAAATTTTCGAATTTCATCAAACACTCAAACCTTTTCTATATTAAAAAATTTTTTTTTTTAAACTTACTGTAATTCAAAATAATTTCCTACTTATTTTAATTTACCATCAAATTTTTTAAACTATAATTTCAACAGATTCAAAATAAAATTTTTTATTGTATCTAGTATTCGTTTATGGCAAGAGTTACCAAGTGATATTAATTCCTATTCCCTCGAGATCATCAAAAATAAAGCGTTAGAATTCTTCTTAAATCTTGAACTATCTAACAGTTTATAATAACCCTATTAATTATCGTTTGGCTTGTTTGAACTTGAATTTGAATTTGTATTTGATTTTACTCATATGTTACTTATTTAATTTATTGTATTGCATTGTACTATAATGTATCTACTTAATTATCTAACTACATTATTTAATTATTTAATTACTATTCATTACTTGTATCCGAATTTTGTATTATTGCCATTGGCATATTATATAAATAAAATTTAATAAATAAATAAAATAAAATTTCCATCTAATAAATAAAATTTGCCAAAGCGTGATCCAAAAAAAAAAGAAAAAATACCCGCAGATGTAAACATGTCCATGTTTAGCTCCAATGACATCCCAAATCTCATCCTTGTTCTTCTCAAGAAGATGAGTAACATAGACCTTCTTCTCCTGCTCTCTACTAAAAGCCGTGTGAAGAGTCAAGGTCCCGCTCTTGACATACCCTTCCAATTCATCTTGATACAGAAAATCTTCTTTGCTCTTGCGACACCCGAAGTACAAAATAGTATCTCCAACTTCCTCTCCGCCCTTTCTCAGCAAGTCGCGTTCCTGGATGAACCCGCGGAAGGGAGCAAGACCAGTACCAGGTCCCACCATGATGATAGGAGTGATAGCTTTGGGTGGAAGTCTGAACTGGGACTTTCTCACGAAGATTGGAACGTAGCTCGGAGGATCAGTGGGGTGCTTGTTCTTCAACCAGGTAGTAGTAACTCCTCTATTAATCCGTCCAGTAGGGGTCTTATATTCCACAACCACCGCAGTTATATGAATAGAAGTCGGATGAAGCTTCGGCGAAGAAGAAATCGAGTAGTACCGACACTGGAGACGCGGCAGCAGTTCGCAAAGATGGTCCAACGCTGGCTTCAAGCTGGGAATGTCCTCGAGAATGTGGACGATGTTGCGGTTCTCGTTGGTCACCCACTGATGGAAGAGGGCTTTTCCTTCGGCGGTGGTCGAGGCCATCAGCTTCAACTTCTCCTTGTCCTTCGGGTCGCTGCAGTACTCCGCGAGTTCCTTGAGCACGTGGGTCCTCGGGTTGCTGGTGATGTCGATGTAGTGGGTCAATGCTGTTCTGTAGGAGCAGGGACAAGGGAACGGGTGCTTCTTGGTCGATTCCTCGTCGGTGTTCGTCAGAATTATCACAGTGTCCAGGTCCACTTCGCAAATTTTTCCTATTTTCTCTACCAGCTCGTTGTCATTCACCGGGTAGACCGCGACGTGGTCACCTGCGTCGTAACGCATCTTGGAACCCTCGATGTCGAACTCGATGTGCATGCACGAACGCTCTGATGTTGGCCCGTGCAACTCCCGGTTCACTTTTACTGCTGCCAGGTATGGATTCTTGGCGTCGAATGGTCTGAAATTTTTTTTGAGAGTTAATACAGTTTTTTTTTTTTTGTCTAAGGTAAAAGACCCAGTTATTGACACTGGCCTAGTTGTTTGACACTTGCAATTTTATTCGAATTGAAAAAATTAAATGTTGTCAAAAAATCAATTTTCTTTAAATTTATAATTAAAAAATTGTATTTATTAATTTGTTAGAGTTGATTTTTTTTTTTTTAATTAATTAAAATTGCAAGTGTCAATAACTGGGTCTTTTGTTGGTAACCTTAGTTGGTAATTAATTGAAGAATTGCAATGTTGAAATTTGCTGAGTGAATGATTTATTTTTTCTCAGAGTGAAATTCACTACAAGGATTTTTTTTTATTATGAATGAAAAAAAATTCCGCAGAGTGAATTCTTTTTTTTTATAAAAATGAAGAAATAGTTTTTGAATTTGAAAAATAAGGACTTGGAAGCTTAAATTATTTCATATATGTAAATATACTGGCAATAATAATTATATTTTTATCCTGGATTGAAAAACTGGCCTTTAATTTTTATCAGAGTAAAATTCACTGCAAGGATTTTTTTTTTATTAATGAAAAAAAATTCCGCAGAGTGAATTTTTTTATGAAAATGAAGAAATAGTTTGTTTTTAAATTACAAAATTAAGATTTAGAAGTTTGAAAATTAAAATAATTTTCTTCTTTATTTTGATATTAAAAAATTATAATATTTATGAAAAAATCTGAAACAAAATTTTTTTTCAATTTTTTTTATAAATTTTCTCTAAAATAATTTATTTGTTAATAAATCATAAAAACCATCATGTAAAAATTGATTTCAGCAACATTTAATTAATAAATTTTATTTATTCAAACAAAGTAAATGTTAATAATTTTTTATATTAAAATTAAAAAAGAAATATTTTTTGGGAAAATATAAATAATATTTACAAACTTAAACTTGAGATAAATTTTTTAAAGCAATTGTTAATAATTTTGTATGTGAAACTTGTTTTTAGATAAATAAAAATTTATTGATGTTTAGTATTGTAGTATTTTGGCTGCGAGTATTTTTTTAAACTAATTAGAGATACTACTTACGGTCGTTGGTTGACTAATGAGTGAAGACGAGCTATTTCTCCAGTGTAAATACGATCAGCAGGAACTTCAACGTGTTCTGTTAATTTGTACTGACGGATGCTGACGTCTTCTCCTGCGCCTTCGATTCCGAAAAAGTCGCATACTGCTGGCCAGAATTTATCTTTCCATGTTATAAAGTCGTCTTCGATGCTGAAAAATATAATAAATAATTAATAAATCAAGAGAAGTTTATTTTAAACCTTATTGGAGAAACTAAAAAAGTTATGTACTCTAAATATATATAAAAAAATTCAGCATAATTCAAATTTTAATAGAATGCTACTTATAAAAATTTATGATACTGAAGTCAACAAAAATTTGTCATTTTTTTAATTTTTATGACAAATAAATGATAAAAAAAAATATTATCAAAAAATTTGCACTTGTAATTTTTTTTAATTTCTAGATGTGGAATTTTTTATTAAAATTTTTTCACAATAATTTAGTTGTTATAAAAATCCAGAAAATTGACAGATGTATGTTAATTTTAGTATAAAAAAAATTTTTGTTTTAATTAGATTAAATAAATTTTTTTTTTAAATTAAATTAAGTAATCAAACTAATTAACTTTATATAATAAAATTTCAATTTTTTAAAACCAATAACTAAAAATTATTTTTAGTTTTAAAAATTATCTTACAAGATATTTTGATAACATTGACAGCATTTACCCTATGAAAATCAAGTTAGCTGACATTTCAAAATTTTTAGAAATTTTTTATTGAAAAAATTTCAATTAAACAATTAAAAAAAATATATCACATGATAAAAACTCGAAAAACTATAAGTGCAATTTTTTATAAATATCTTTTTTAGTTGTAATTTAATTTTTAGATGTCTGCTAACTTATGAAAATTAAGTTAGTCGACATTTAAAATCTTAGAATTTTTTTTATTAAAAAATTATTACGAAATATATTAAAAAAAAAATCAAAAAATTTAGAACGTCGGCTAACTTTAATGACGTAAATTTTATAAAATTAAAAAAATTTTTTTAATTGTTTTACTTAAAAAAAATTCAAGCCTAGAAGAGCAAAGATTGACAGCTAATTATTTACTAAAAATAAAATTCATCTAAATTTCCATAAAAAATACATAATACATAAAATATTAAAATTTTTCAACCTGCCGGAAACATCTATTTTTAAAATTATCATTTTTATCTCACAAAACAAAATCTATTTCAGTTAAAAATTGACTATCATTAATAATACATGATTTAGTATTGTACCCATGTATGTAAATTAAAAACTGAAAATAATTACTTGGCATCATCATCCCCAAGTCCGCATTCAAAAACTCTGGTCGCTCCAAGCTGCTCGAGTCTAAAGTCAACGTAAGTAGCCACCTCATTGTAGTGCTCATAAGTCTTGTTACCCAATCCAAATACCTGAAATTAAAAACCGCTTATTAGTAAATAATAAAAATGACAGATAATTATCCTAAAAAATAGTCGATCATTAAAAACAAGAAGGAATTACATAATACAGCACAAGATAATATGCAATGACTAATTAAGCCGCTAGTATGAAAAATTCTAGAACTTAATTGTTAACTACGTTTAATAAATTATTTGAAATTACTTTTTTCATTTTGTTTAGTGACGAAAATCTCCGCTGCGTGACGTTAGTGTTTGAATTTATGATAATCATTAAATTTCGCGTCACAGAACATAATTTGCACAACTTTACGTTCATACTTATCATTATTGCTTCACATGGAAGGAAAATTAAAAAAAAAAAAAAAAAAAAAAAACCAAGTTGAAATAATTCCACAGATTAGTCAATAAAATTCAGCAAAAAAAAAACTAAATGAAACAACAGATTTTAAAGTACATAATGACAGATGTAAAAATTGCACAATATTATGCAATCTCATTAACAATAATTAAAACTATTAATTTAAGGCTTATAATTAATGAAATTTAAATGGAAATTCAAAACACGTCTACTTGCAAAAGTCGGTGATGAATTTAGGTTAGTTTTTCTGATAAAAATTTTTACTAAATAAAATGATAATAATTTCTGATTTATCAGCGGCTGGTTCTTGTTGCGCGTTAGATTATCACTGACACAAATTAATGTAAAATTTAAAAAAAAATCAATTTTTTTTTTTCAATAATCTGAAAATATAGTGTTGAGCATGTACTGATAAGAGGAAAAAATAAAATCTCGAATATTGATGAAAATTAATATATCATTAAAGTTAGCCGACCTTCTAAATTTTTTGATTTTTTTTTAATAATCAAATTAGAACAAAAAAATTTTTTTAAAAATTGCACTTACACTTTTTGAAGTTTTTTAGACGTGCAATTTTTTTTTTATTTTTTTTGTAATGATTTTTTCAATAAAAAAAAACTATAAAAATTTTTAAATGTCGGCTAACTTAATTTTTATCTAAATTTTTTGATTTTTTTTTTTTAATGAT